ACGACTACGTCACCATAGCACCCACGACTACGTCACCATAGCTCCCACGACTACGTCACCATAGCTCCCACGACTACGTCACCATAGCTCCCACGACTATGTCACCATAGCACCCATGACTACGTCACCATAGCTCCCACGATTACGTCACCATAGCTCCCACGACATAGCTCCCATGACTATGTCACCATAATCTTGGTCATTCAGTTTGAAGTCTTTGCTTCTCATAAGACTGGCAGAGCCAGTTTTCGGTGTCTGCCATGGAAAACCGCTTCTCTCAGTCACAAGGATTGCTTGCGTATCCTCACAGTGCACTGGAGGAAACCAGGGAGACACCACAGAGTCGCTCAGCCCAGCCCCAGTTTCCCCTCTGCTGTCCTTCAGTCACAGGTCAACCATACTCCCCGTGGGACTGGTTCTCTGGGCTGTAGAGATCAGGAAGTGAGAGCACAGTCGGACATCCCAGAGTCACTGTGTGAGTCTGGGCATCGAAGGAAAGCATTTGTTCCTCCCTCCGCCTAGCTCAGGAGCTCTTAGCGCTAAGTCATCATTCAAAGAAACAAGCCAACCCAGGGGTCCTCAGGTCCCATGCCCTCTCTCCAGCTCCTCCCAGGTGAAGTTTTAGTTTTGGGGTCACCCCCCATCCTTAACCATTGCTTCATGGCTCACGTCAGTGTGAGAATGGGTGGATGTGCATTGACACCCTGAACTGCTCTGTTCAGCTCTCTGTCGGCTTTCAGCCCCTGCCCTCAGGTAAGGAATCCCTGTAGTTCCTTCTCCTCCTGAGAACCTCAGAGCCCCTGCCCTCGGGTAAGAAAACCCTGTAGTTCTCTCTCCTCCTGAGAACCTCAGAGTAGTCTAGGGTTTGTGGATCCTGCTGGGATCCTGCCAATTGTCTACGGGGCAGCTTGTTCTCTACCTGTGCTGTGAACTGAACTGTGTGCCTGTCCAAAACATACGGTTCTTGGCTGGTGAACGTGGTCTGTCTTGTCAAGAGGGTTCCGTTTTCTTTCTGTTGCTGTGATAAAGCATACTGACTAAAACGCAGCTTGGGGGAGGAAAGTGTTTATTTGACTTATACTTGCAGGCCACAGTCCATCAGCCTGGGAACTCAAGACAGGAACACAGAAGCAGGAATCCCAGAGGAGTATTGCTTGTGACTCACTCAGACTCTGGTACCACCCATAGTGGGACTAGATATAGTTCTCTATATCAATTAACAGTCAAGAGAACCGGTCACAGGCATGCTCACAGATCAATTGATAATGGCAAGTACTCAGTTGAGACGTTTTTGGTGATTCTAGTCCATCAAGTTGACCACTAACTAGGACCATCGTTCTCTCCTCAAATCAACGCACATATACACCACTTTAGGCCATAATCTTTTATTTTATGTCCCAGAGATCTATGTTAATATTATGTTATAAAACACAGTCAAACTTAAAAGTAAAAGTCTCTTGGTCTTTAAACATTTTAATGCTTAAGTTCAAGGACTCTGGGGCTGGAGAGATGGCTCGGTGTTTAAGAACACGTGTTACTCTTGCAGAGGATCCAGGATCAGTACCCAGCACCCACAAGGTGGCTCACGACTACCTGTGACTTCATTTCTAGGGGACCCAATACCTTCTTCTGACCTCAGTGGGTACCAGGCATACATTTGGTATATGTACACACATGTAGGCAAGGCACTTATAGAAAAAAATCTAAAGAATGTCCAGGTTTTCTTAAAAAGTCTACAGTCTCTTAACTGTGATTGTCTATAAAGTAAAAAAAATGAAACAAAAACCAAGTTAAGTACTATTTATTCCAGAAGAACCATGGCATAGGAACATTCAAACTTAAGCATAACCGAGATCAAGATTTTAAAGTTCAATGTTTGGTATCTACCAAGAGCTCTCTGGTGATATTTAGGCACCAAAGGCTATGGGCAGCCATACCTCCCCAGCTTTGCCATCTCCAGAACATACCATCTGCTGTGTGTGTTTAGGCTAGCTACACTCGTCAGTTGTTCTTGGTGGACCTCAAATGGCCCTGGCATCTCCAGTATCCTGGGGTCTCCACTACCAACTGAGGTACCTTCAGCAATGGCCTCTCTTGGCTTCTCTTCAGGGACTCTGACCCCACTTGGTACCAGACCTCAGCTGCTTTCCATCGCTCCCTTAATCTTGCATCTTTCATGCCTTCAAAAAGTGCCATGTGGGTGACTTTTCCACACTGTCCAGTTCAGCTTCCAGCTTGAGATGTAGCCTTGGCCTCCTTAGATGTTGACTTCTAAGTGTCGATTCAGAGGAAATGCTTTCCACGGCCCCAGAGACAATGCCTCTGTGGTGCTGATCGCTTCTTATTAACCACAGCGGATTTTCCATCATTAGCCTGGCCAACAACCACAGATTCTCAGTTAAAAACTTCACACAGATGGTGCCTATAGAGTGTTTGAAACCCCCAAGCCAGGCCTCCCCTGCCGGTGTTTCTCTCAGCCGGGTCTCCAGTGTTGGTGTTAACGCTCAGCGTTATTTTTCAAGGCCCCACATCAGCTCTTTAAGCTCTGAATACTCATTGGCTTTTGTAGCCCAAAGTTCCAAAACCGTCCACAATCCTCTAACAAAATAGTCCAAAGGCATAGAACGCTGCACAGTCAGGTCCGTCCCAGCAACATGCCACTTAGGGCCTGGCACCGGTTTCTGTTCTAATGTCCTTTCTATTAATGCGATAAAACGTATTTTCCAAAAGCAACTTCGAGAAGGAAAGGGTTCATTTAACTTCTGCTTCCAGGCCACAATCCATCATTTGGGGAAAGTTAAGGCAGGAACCTAGAGGCTGGAACCGTGGAGGAATACTGCTTTGTTGGCTCGTTCAGGCTCATACACAACTAGCTTTACACAGCCCAAGACCGCTTGCCCAGTGAATAGAAACCGCCACGTTTGCCTGGGTCCCTCACAGACATGCCCACTGACCGCCTTGATAAAGATAATTGCTAAATTAAGGCTCTTGCGGAGTTTCTAGACTGTGTCAAGTTGATAGCTATTTGCTGACTAGGACAAGTCTTTGTAGGTGTGATTAGTGAGAGGCTGTCACACTGGGGCGAGATGACTCCTAGTTCAACAGGCCCGATGTCCTCAGAAGAGTGGGGGCAGACAGACACAGAGGGGCTGGAGATCACCAGAAGCCATCAAAAGACACAGTGAAGTGGACTGAGGACTCCCAGAGCTTTCAGTGAGGGTCAGGCCTGGTGGGGCCTTCCTTTTTACTTGTGACTCTAGACCTGTAGAGAAACAAACATCCACTGGTCTAAGACCCCTGTTGTGGAATTGATTGTCTTTGAAGGATCCCACATCTAGCAGAGTTCTTTCTGGCTGACTAGGGACACCTAAACGTCATTTACAAGAAGGCAAAGGTAGGGGCTTGAAGCAAGTCTTATCCCTTGCTTTGGGTGTGGCCAGCAAGACTGTTTCCCTTGACTGAATGGATGTAGCAACTAAAGCATCGACAATTGTGGGACCTCAGTGACACACATGTGCTGAGAACTTGACTCTCACGTGACCCCACAAAGCGGGTGTGTATGGTTCAGGAGCAAGACGGGGGGGGGGGGCTCTTCCTGACTGTGAGACCTCATGGCTTTGGCACCCACTGTGGGGACCGGTCAGGCTGAAGAGCCCAGGGACTATGTCATCTAACAACTACAGCACCCCGAGGCAATGGGCTGATGGGCCGGTGGAGTGACGGCGACCTGCCTGGGCCACACTGGGTATCAGATACTGAGGCAGGGGCTTATCTCAGTTTATGTGCAGGTCTTCTCCGTCCTGATTGTGCTCATTTCTGGTGTCTTCATCATCACCATCATCTACAGGTGCGTCCTCTTTGTCCTTCTGTGGGGGAGGAGTGGTCTGGGGCCGCCTGACTCCCTCCCCGACCTGCTGCTCTGGGTCCATCTCCTCTTAGTGATGAAACTGACTCCCCAGCATTCGGGGAGGGGGGGGTTTGAGACCCCAAGAGCAGTACTGAGCTCACTGGCTTTGTCGGCCCCTGCAGCCAAAGACCCTGGGAGCACCTCCTGCTGGAGTATGCAGGGACAGCAAGCACCCAGGAGGTCCCAGGGCTCAGGCTAAGGGCTAACTGGGCTCACCATTGTCCTCAAGCAGCTGTTGAGACGAACAGCTGACAATGTCAACCTAAAGGAGGGAGGGCTTGTCTGGGCTCACAGCTTGAGGGGCGGCGCTGCCAACAGTTGAGCTGGCTCTTTCCTCCTGGATGAATCTAATCTTGAAGTTCTATCAGATACACCCTGCTGCTTTGTCTTTTTAGCGATTCTAGATCCTATCAAGTAGATACTGTCAACCACTGTAAGCCCCACGTGATGCTTTAAACCCTGGGCCGAGTAAATCTGTGTACCGTGACAGTGTTTGGGTGTGTCGGAGGGACACCCTTTCTGTCACCGTCCCAGAGACTGTGACGCCTTAAACTGCACAGCTAAGGGCCAGTGTTCAATTCAGCATCCACCTCTGGTGTGCCTGCTACTATTGAGGCTCTGTCCTATGATTGGCACAGAGCTGTGGAGAGGATTTGCATGCCTCACCCAGCAACTGCTCCAGCCTTTCATGTGGCCGGCACAGCCTGCCTTGCAGCAAGCACAGTGTGTACTTTCTTCCCGGGCTTTGCTTTAGAGAGACTGAACCAAGACCATGGAGCAAAGCATGTGGGCCTCATCATAGAGCCTCAGTCCTGGGTGGGTGGAGCTTTCTATCTCTAGCTGCTTGACTGTGAGCAAGGCTTTCTTCTCCAGGGTCATACAGGATCGGATAAGAGAGAGAGCGATCTCCATGGAAACCTTATCCAAGGTCTCATCACTTAAGACCTCCAAGAAGGAGTCTGAGCAGTTTTCTATTCAAGAACCAGCGTCGCTCAAACTTAGCCTTCCAAGTGGCTCCTCCAAGAAGGGCACTGAGAGCCAAATGGAAGGTAGGCTCCTGCGGACTGAGTCTGTCTCTGTCTTTGTGGTCTTCCTTTTGCATGTGCTCAGTGTCTCTGATCGCCCCCACCAATAACGGCGAACACTGTTTTAGCCTGGGCAGGATTCCAATGTACCCAACTGTAGAAGGCCGGGGTTCCTCCTCCCCCACTGCGGTTGGCAGGTATCAGTGCATGTCCTAAGGACAGTCCAGTAATACTTGAAGGTTTATCAAGGTCCTTCCTCGGGGCCAGCGCAGGGTGAGCGTGGCCTCTGGTGGTGAGGCAAAGGCTGAAGCGGGACAGTAGCTCGCTGCCTGCTTTGGTTCACGGGAGGCAGAGTCATGTGCTTGCCAGGGACTCTCAGGAGGCTGTGCAGACCTCTTGCTGCTTTTCCCAGGTCAGGTTAGAGAAAAGGATGCCCCAAACTTGGCATCTTGTCGCATGTGGGACAAAAAGGGCTGTCTCACCTGACCTTTAGCCTCATGGGCTTGGCTTCGTGGAAGTCCCCAGGGAAAGTGGGACCGGAGGCCTCAGCGCTAGCCTGTGTACCCGAGACTGCCTGCAGGGCACAGGTTCTTTTCCTTGGTGCCTTCTGTGTTGAGACAATGGATATGAAGACTTCTTACTGAGGCTTCAGTCCCCGTGATGTCTGGGAACAAGGGCAGTACAGGCTGCTCACCGCTGGCTTCTGGGACAATACCTGCCGTATGTTTACTCCAAGCCCTTGATAAAAATCTCCTAAGGGTGCTGAAGGCCCCATCAGAGAAACACTCCGATCTCCTCCCCTGTCATCTAGCAACAGTGACACTGTCAGAACACGAGGAAACGGAGGATTAAAGAGCACAAGGAGTCAGTGTTGTGAGAATGTCAGCGACATCCCTCAGTGGACACCTTTAGTGCGTGACCGAGTGACCGCCTGTAAGGAAAAAAATAAAGGTATTTTGAGCATTGTTTCTTGCTCTTTGCTGCCCCATTCCTGGCCATGCTTCCTCTTAGAAGAAAGAGCATGCCTTTGGGTACAGACAGGACCTAGAGTTTGGTTTCCAACACTCTGCCTGTCACTAGCATTGAGACTCCTAGACAAGCACACTGTAGTAGCACAGATGGGCCACATAGTCCCCTTTGCAGAAGACAGATTCAGGGTATCCATGATAGCCCAGTGAAGCTTTCTAAGGATCAGAGAACTCTTCAGGGGAGGAGACAGTCTTGTCGCTGATGCTCCAGCTCAGAGTATCTTTTGAATGCTCTTGTGGGTAGCTGGCTGGGAAGCCCTCCATCTTGGGCAGTGGGCTCTTCCCCTTGGAAATGAGCAGCGTCTATGGCGCTAGGGCTATGGGCTTTGAAGAGATGCACACAGGACAGACAGATAGACAGACCAGACCCAGGGTTCCTGGAGGGTCACTTTGCTGAAAAGTCAGGATGAAAGCCCCTGGAGGGTGTCTCTTGACTGTGAGTGTAGAGGTCACCCGCACCCCCTCCCCGTTCTGTAGAGGCTTCTGTGGGGGCCGAGGCAGAGGGATTTCTGCTGGCCCTTCGTTCTCACTGTGGTACCTGGTTGGTCTTGTCCCTTGGGTGTCCAGCATACTTTTGGAAAGGGGCACATATGCTAGGCTTTGCTGATTGCAAGGTCTCTGTCATCCAGGACTCTGCTATAGCACAAGGATGAACGCAAGCACAGCAAGGATGTGTCACGATCCAGGGAATGCAGGCCACAGGTTGGACTTGGGGGCAAACTGCAGGCGTTGCCTGAATATTAATGTGCGTTTGAAGGTCTGTGATTTGAAGCTGAGGTTCCCTTTGATCAAGGAACAGTGTGATCTGTAGGGTGTCACCCTCCCTGGTACAGTATTTGTTGGAAGAAGTTTCCAATTCTTTCTGTATTGTTGCCACAGAAGTGACACTTTGGCTTACGGTATACCTACAAAATTTTTAGGAGCTGCTCTGCCATTATGAGGGGCCAATCACAAGTCCCCTTTGTGGTGACCCCTCTCTGCTAGAGCACCCCCTATGCCCAGACCACCTGTGTAGTTCTTAGCTGGAATCACCGACTGCACAGATGAGCAGGCACTGTTCAAAGATGGGCCTGTCAGTCATCTGGGGCCACGTCACCTGGGAGGTGTCTCTGGTATGTGTTGAATGTTGAAAGGGTTTTCCTACTTTAGGTCCCAGAAGACCCACTGCCCCTTCGGTAGCACTCCGGGGACCAGTGTAGTGAGGATGGAGGGATGGGGTTGAGGGGCCAGGTACCCTGGGGGTGGGGTGGGCCTAGCTTAGCTCACATGGGAAGGTAGTGAGTAGGGGGCCCTGCGAAGGATGGCCTACTGTGGTCTGATGAATGACTTGTGTTCTGCCAGTGAGAGGTGGTGGATTCCACCTTCTCCGGAGTGTCTGGATGGAGTGTGGTAAGTGTGGCCTCCACCCGAGGTAGATGGAGAAGGCCACAGTGAGCGTCAATTAGAACTCCTGAGATGGCTGAGGCCCTGGGCAGGAGTCAGGGCGCTGGTTCTCACTGCCAGCTAACAGGGCATGATAGCTAATATTGTCAATTTGATGGGGTCTTGAATACCTGAAAAGCTAAGGCCCCGGGCACATCTGTGAAGAATTCTCTAGATGAGGTCAACTAAGCAAGACCATCTGCCCTGGATGGGGGCATCAGCATCCCACTGGCTGGGGAACAGGTCTACTGAATAAGGAGGAGAAAGCTTCCTGTCTGTGGATACAGTGGAACCAGCTACCTCAAACCCCTGCTCCTGGGTCCTCCCACCATGATGGACTGCACCCTCACACCATGAGCCAAAGTAAGCCCCTTTGTCTTTAGTCTGTCTTTCTAGGGTGTTTCGTCTTCGTGGCAAGGTAAGGAATCATACATGTAGGATCTGTTTGACCACCCGGAGGGCAGACGGTGCACACTGCAGCCATGGGCCAGGTCTTCTCATACAGTAGGCCTCATCCCGAATCTCCTGGATTGATGCAGCCTCCTTGGGGTGAGGAGGGATTTAAGTCTTTGCTATTTCGGGTGGGGAGAAGCAGATACGAGTGTTGGGTTCATTCCATCAGCTAAAAGTCTGAGCAGACTGCATTACTGGGCGAGCACCCTGCTGTGTCTGCACTGTGGCCTGGGACTTGGGTTTGACTGAACCTGAACAGGCTGTCCGGGGTGTCAGACTGGAAGTCAACCATTAGAACTCCCAGTCTCCATCTTACCACAGCCGACCTTGGGGGTGTTCAGCCCCCATCGCCGTGGCTCTGCAGATGGGATATACATTCTTGGTTCCATTTTCCTGAATTGTGAACGTTGGTCTGGAGGAAGGGGGCTAGATTCTGCATTTTCTCATGTTGCCTTTAGTTGAAGGTCACCTGGGGAAGGGGGACTTGGCATCATAGGTCCTTTGGAAGCAATATGGCTTCCATTCTTTGAGGGCAGACCTCAAAGATGACCAGTGTGACTTACCTTGTCCTGTGTGGGTGACTCATCAGACCTGCCGAAGGGGCTCCTGGGAATTGTGATGATGGCAACTGCTGCCCCTACTGAGGGTGTGCCAGGATGGCCTGCTCCCTCTCCTCACTTCTGTGACCCTGTGTCTGTGTCTTGCCAGTAGGACAGTCAGAGAGGGGTGTGTAACAGTCACTGTCACCTGTGCATCTTTCCAGGGTACTGGGTGCTGGGGTGAGGCTGTTGCAGGCCTTCCAAAGGGCTTTTCTACTGCAGTGATATTTTGTTTGTGTTTTATAAATAAAGCTGCCCTGAAGATCAGAAGGTAAAAGTAAACCACTAGAGACCAGGTAGTGGTGTCACGTACCTTTACTCCCAGGATTTGGGAGAGAGTCAGATGGATCTCTGTGAGTTCAAGGCCACCCTGAACAATACCAGATCAATGCAGAAACAGATCCAGGTAGTGGTGACTTGCACCCTTAATCCCAGTAATAGGGAGTCATACGCCTTTAATCCTAGCACTAGACAGAATATAAGGTGGGATGAGACAGGAACTCACTTTCTTTCAGTCTGAGGATTTCTTAGAGGTCAGAGCTCTCTTGTGGCTTGGCTGCTTTGCTTTTCTGATCTTCAGGTTGAACCCTAATATCTGTCTCTGGGTTTTATTATTCGTGCTACAACCCCACACGTTCAGGACCGCGGAGAGTATTCAGCCAGGAGATGAGTGACTCCATGTGAGGTAAGCATAAACCCGACTGCCACTGGACTGTGACAGTCTCCGCTCTCAGCAGTGGACACTTTGTGCTTGAGGCTGCACAGCCTTCAGAATCCACTTTCCTTGTCCTTTCTCTGGGGTGTAAACACTGACGCCTGGGGAAATTTGCCTCTGGGAAAATGAAGGTCGCTTAGACACATTTTGTGCCTTGACTTCGCTCAATGATTTCCTTTTGGAGGACGTCAGGGGCTAGGGGCTAGGGGCTTTGATGTTCTGGAGACTCTTTAATGGAGTCTGGTGTCTGTCACCGTGGTCTGAGAGTTCCTCCAGAGAGACTAGAACACCTTGGCCATGCTGAGCAGCCTGAGTGGCAATCCCTCCATTTGTGAAGATTTTGCAATCAACTGCTCCACACCCCTTCAGGGTCAGGTCCTCTGTATGTGCTCCTGTAGTTCACTAGAAGGGTACCAGATGGCTTTGTGACCTGCATGCAGCACTAGGCTACCCTCTGCTGGTTTTCTTTGTGCCACCAAGACCAAGATTTATATCTCAGTGCTGGTATGGGGAGGGAGGGCATTGTGACCTTCAAGGGACTCACTCAGGGCAGACCTAGGATGGTGAGCTCAGTGCTGGTCACATGACTGTGGGGGTCATAGACCTTCGCATACAGACAAAGTCAATTTCTAGAGTCTTGTGAAGTAAAGGGACAGGGACTTTCTGCCTTTATCTGAAGTTTTCTGTGGGTTGTCATGTGTGTGTGCCCGTGTGTGTGTGTGTGTGTGTGTGTGTGTGTGTGATGTCAGTCTTCAGAGCACACAGGAAGTGCAGGTCCTATGCCCAGGTCCTATGCCCAGTGTGGGTTGCCCTATGGGTCTGTCCTGGGAAGTCATACAGACACAGATGATGGTTGGCACAAACCTTTTGTTCCCGGAGTGGTATTCTGTTCTAGTCTGCCCACACGATCCTTTATTTTCTTTAATCAACAATGACATCTTCAGGAAGACCCCGGGCTCCTCTAGGAGTCCCGGCTCCTTAATTAGCCGCCTCTTTCCCTTTGTGTTCTCTTTGCAGGGTGATCCAATTTTGAACAAAAAGAAAGCTTTGCACATTTACAACTTCTACACCAATTACATTCATGCTATCTTTTCTTCATATTGATGAAGCTGATAAAAATAGAAAAACTTAAGAGTCTTGTATCGAAGACCAGAGGGGGGGGGGGGGGGGGGGGGGGGGGGGGGGGGGGGGGGGGGGGGGGGGGGCGCGGTGTGCTCATTAACACAGAAGGAATCCAAATCTTCTCTGAGGACTGAAGAATCGTATCTCTCCTTTTCCAAGCTCGCTTTACCTCCTTCCATGTCCCCTCTGTGCGGATGGCTTGACATTAATGCCCTACTTGGCTGTGCTCTGTTTTCCCTGGGTTTATGATTAAAGTGGCAAACTCTGGATTATGCTTGGGACATCTTTTCTACCCCATACATATCTCATTTCCCACCCCACCCCACTCTGTATCTAACTCATGCCCGGCTCCATGCCCACCCTGCCCTCACCCCTGCCCCCAACTTGCTCACCACTTACATACCATACAACATTGCTTTTCATCTCAGCTGGATCCCCAAGAAAGCCATCCCTCTTTATCCTTAGGGACATTTGCTAATGAGCCCGGTAGTTTCTTATGTGACCTGTTTCCACAATGATTTTCAGGAAACCCAGACCCCTGGAAATAAGCAGACGCATGGTGAACCCCTTGCAAAGACATTGACTCAGGAATTTTTAGGATGCTGTTAGCCTTGAGCAAGATCATCT